CATGGTCGAATGATTTTTAACAAAAGTGCCAAGACCATTCAATGGGAGGGAAAGACAGTCTCTTCAACAAATGGTGCCAGTAAAAGCAGATATACACAAAAGAACAAAGATGGACAGTTACCTAACACTATATATAAAAATTAACTCAAATGAATCAAAGCTCTAAATGTAAGACCTAAAACTACAAAGTTTTAATGAGAAAACATAGGACAAAAGCTTCTAAACATTGGATTTGGCAATGATTTCTTGGATATAACACCCAAAGCCAAAAAGACAAATTGGACTTCATGAAAATTTAAAAATTTTGTACATCAAAAGACACTATCAAAAGAGTAAAAAAGCAACTCATAGAATGGGAGAAAATATTTGCAAATCATATATTTGATAAGAGAATAATAGATAATTCCAGAATATACAGATAATTTCAAAAATTCAACAATAAAAACAAAATAAAAGAAAAACAACAACAACAAACAATCTGATTAAAAACTGGACAAAGTACTTGATTGAATAGATGTTTCTCCAAAGAAGATACACAATAGCCAAAAATACGTAAAAAGATGCTCAGCATCACTAATCATTAGGGAAATGCAAATCAAAACTACAATGAGATGCCATCTCATATTCATTAGGATGACTACTGTCAAAAGAAACAGAAAATCAATGTTGACAAGGATGTGGATCCATCGGAACCCTTGTGCACTGTTAGGGGAAAAGTAAAACGGCACAGGCACTCTGGAAAACAGTATGGAGTTTCCTCAAAAAATTAAAAATAGAATTACCATGTGATCCAGTAATTCCACTTCTAGATATAAACACAAAAGAATTGAAAGCAGGGTCTTAAAGATATATTTCTATACCCATGTTCATAGCAGCATTATTCGCAATAGCTAAAATGGGGAAGTAACCCAGTGTCCATCGACCAATAAATGGATGAGCAAAATGGGGTATATACATACAATGGAATATTATTCAGCCTTCAAAAAAATTCTGACATATGCTACCACATGGATGAAACTGTGAAAAACCATATAAATATAAGATGATACTATTATTTACTATTACCTTGCTCCTTTCTAAATCTGGACAACAAGAGATCTATTTATATTGATCTACTAGCTACTTTACTTACATTAATGTATATTTTTATTTCACAATCAAGCTTCATTTGTCTCACCAGAACTTCATAATCAGGACTCTATATTATATGTCACAGCACAATCCATAAATTTGTGAATCAGTAACACATTCTTTTGAAAACCCCCATTGTTCCAGTTTTGTTAGAACCCTGGTGAACACCTCAGGAATTAAGGTCCCAACATTATGCACTGTGTACCCCTCAGCTCCTTGATGTTGGAGCACCTGCAAGAACTGCTTAACAGTGCTGGTGGTCATCCGCAACCCCAGCTTCTTAAACGGCTGAATTTTTTTTCACACATTTTAAAAGGCACATTTACATTTTAAGTGTTTGAGTAAACGGACTGAGCAAGGAGAGAAATTGAAGAAACCTCAAACCATTTTGATTCCAAGAGGCCAGAGTGATTCTGGTCAGGTTCCATAACCAATGAGTCAGCTCTGGGGTAATATCTCTCTTCTCTGGGGATGGCGTGTTTCCTGGAATCCTGTTGTGTTTTTTATTCATCCACCTTGGCATGCAAAGATCAGGTCCATCGTGTCTTCTAAAGTTGTACTACGGATCTGAAAGCTCTTCTGTCTGCAATTTATCTTCCCTTTTGGTTTGCTTGTTGACTATCAATGATACTTATAGAAATATAATTCACATACCACTAAATACACCTTTGAGAGTGTATATTTCAGTAGTTTTTAGTAGTTTTCACAAGGTTGTCTTCCTTTATTTTGTCTCCTTTTTTTTTTTATTTCCTAGAGAAAGAAGAGAGTTCTAATTTCTTATTCATTGATTCAACATATATTTATTGAGCACATAAAAATCAAATAAAAATCCCTGCCCTCAGGAACTTGCATTCCAGCAGAAAACACAAACAATAATGAATAAAATAAGCAGTGATAGAGTATGTCAGAAGTGACAAGTGACATGAAAAAAAAATAGTAGGAAAAGGATAGGGTGTACCACTTGGTGGTGAGTAGAAGGATTACAATTTTAAATTGGGTGATTAGGGAGTCTTAAGAGAAGACACATCAAGCAAAGACTTGGAAGAATGAGGGAGTAAATCATGTTTTTATCTGAGGGAAGGGCACTTAGGGAGAATATAAACAGTAAGTGTAGAGACCCTGAGGTAAGAAGGTCTAAAGAGCTAGGAGGCCAGTGTGCCTGGAGCTTAGTGAGGGGACGAATAGTGGGAAATAAGATCACAGGGGCCAGTGGTGGCCAATCCATGGAGGGCAGTGGTCCCCAACCTTTTTGGCACCAAAGACTGGAGCTCCTATGAGAATCTAATGCCTGATAATCTGAGGTGCAGCTGAGGTGGTGATGCTAGTGCTGGGGAGCGGCTACAAATACAGCCGAAGCTTTGCTCACTCGCCCACCACTCACCTCCTGCTGTGTGGCCCGGTTTCTAAAAGGCCACGGACTGGTACAGGTCCACAGCCCAGGAGTTGGTGACCCCTGACACAGGGTCTTGAGCCACTACTAAAGACTTTGGCTTTCATTCTGAGTACAGTGGGGAACCACTGTAGAAATTTGACCAGAAGAATGCCATGATTTACTTCGAAGAGTATCCTGCTGGCTGCTATTTGGACTGCAGAGTGTAGGGGAAGAAAGAGACAGCCTAGTTAGGATGCTAATCGCAACAATATAGGAGAGAGTAGGTGTGGCCTGCACTAGGCGGCAATAGTAAAGATGATGAGAAATGGTCAGATTCTGGATACGTTAAGAACGCAGAGACAACAGGCTAGGCTGATACTAGCTGTGCGGTATGAGAGAGACGGAAGTCAAGGATGACTCGCAAGTGAAAGCTGCAATGCTGAATGGTAACAGCCAACTGGTGGGGCTGGTCAAATGGGGCCAGAAGGGCAGCTTGACATACTACATTTATCCCATAGGAAAGTTAAGTTTTTAGTACTAAAAAAATGTAAGTTGTTCTGAACATCTCAAATTAGTAAAAGACAAAAAAATTGTACTCGTTATCACACTATTCTCAAAATATGACCCAGCAATTTAAGCGTCAAATTGCCAAATAGATTATATGTATTTTATTTCTATTTTGAGGCTAAAGACCATTATTTGCTGATTACTTAACCTGTGGTCAACTACCTTAATTGGGAAATTTAACACATTGCAATTGTTGCTGGAAATTAGCAAAGTGATCAGTTCTGTTTGGGGTTACTCTAGCTGCCTAATTTAATTGTTCGTAATAAAATCATAGACTAAACAATTTTATTTAAGTTAATTGCATCAGGTACTTCTGTTGATACCTCTACTATCATCTAATAGTTTTGTTGTTGTTGTTGTTAAGAAACGCTGCATAGCACTGTATCTAAATACTGGATACAAGCTTGCACTTTGATGGCTTCAAAATCAGCCATGAGAGGAGGATTTACACCACAAAAATCGACAAACACTACTAGTCAGGGCTTCCTCCCGCCTCCCATAGTTGGTTTACCAGCATGTTGCTGAGCACAGCAGAGTGTAGAGCTGTGAATACCAGCTTTAGGTCACACAGCAGTGGCACTGTGGGCAGGAGATGTAACGGAAGCCATTTGCCCCAGAGGGGAGGAGTACTTTATCATTGATGTTGTTTCGAATTGCTAGCTTATAAGGATCATACAAAAAGCAAACTGACTTTACGTCTAACTTCTCTACAATGTTTTTCCTTATTGCTTGAGACCAGAACACATCCTTCCCACCTACTCTCACCTTTTCTAATCCTACTCACTGCCTAGTCATCACAGGTATGACATTTTACTTTCCTAAGCCTTAGTTTTCTCATCTGTTCAATGAGGATCGTAAAATCCACCACTCTGGCTTACTGTGAGCATTCAAGACAATATAGTCACAGCATATGTTCCATTAATGGTGGTATGACTAAATCTTGGCAGGCTTATTCATGCCATTCTCCCACTTGGGCCATTTCCATCCCATTTCCGCATATTCAAATTCAGTTCATCTTTCAAAATTGACCCAATTGCTACCGCCTCTATGAGACTTTCTCTTATTTCCATGGCTGACAATCTCTCCTTCCCCTAAAATTCCCTGGCCTCTTGGGGAATGTCTGGCACTACCCCAGACCTTCCGAATTTGAATCTGCATTTTTAACAAGATCCTCAGGTGATTTGTATGTACATTAAGATTTTGGAAGCCTTGCTCTGCTGTTTCTCAAACTGGGGAGATTGTAAAAAGCTTAATGCCTAGACCTCACACCCAGGAGATTCTGATTCTGGGCATTGAGGTCTTTTAAAACTCCCAGATGATACCGACGTACAGCGAAGTTTGAGAATCTCTGCTCTCTAAGCTCCCCCTATACTCTTTAGGGGGCCTGTACATTCTTTAATGTAATGGCAATTTGCGTCCACATATGTTTTCCCACTTCTATTAAATTATGTCTTTTAAGAGCAAGAATTGTTTTTTAATTTCATTTTTATCACCTCCTACCTAATACCTAGACCTATAATAGGAGTTTAATAAATATTTATTGAATTAATGATAAATGAATTTTTTTTTTTGTAATCTTAAAACATTCTCTCAATACCATAAGTGTGGTTTGTGTCCTAATTCGAAGACTGGTTGAACATTTTCTCGAAATTATCAAGTTATTTCCTCTTTAGTCCTGAGTAAAGACTTCACAAAATCTTTGAAGAACAGGAGGCTGGTGGCTAGAATGGGTTTTGTAACTGAGAATACACTCTCTGGGCGTCAGTATGCTGGCCACTGCCACCTCTATGAGCTAGTACAGGAAGTCCCAGCTTAAATCCTAAGACCCCGGAGGGCAATGCAACATGAAGCAGCACCGCCCCACACTCAGAGCATCCAATTCAGAACTCTTGGCTGAAATATGATGATGTTATTGTTTCTTCCTCTCCAGGGTGCCATTTTGATATTTATGGGGATCGTTGTCCTCACTATGAAGGCATCTGTTATTGAAATGTTCCTTGGTAAGTACTTTTATATGTGTATCTGGATACACTGTTAACATTCTCCTAAGGTCTGAAGAATTCTGCCAAGAAAAGATTTAAACAGCGCATATAAACAGCACAGTGTATCTTTTGATGATAAACATTTTGTAGACGTTTAAGTGAGAATGCTAAGTGTAAATTAAATTCAGGATGTATGTGTATATATATTTTTATATACAGCAAGTATATCCATTACATCAATGTGTATCTATATATTACATATTATATACAGTTACACACACACACACATCTATGTGTGTATTCTTCAGCAACTAACAAATATTTCAGATACAGCATATTTACAGATTGTGAATTTAGGGGGTCTTCTTGTTTCTTCAGCTCTCAAAAAAATTTATCATTATCATAGCCTTACTTAGACCATTGGCAACTCGGACCTTTAGAGATGAAATCATTTAAATTCATCCATTATCACCAGAGAATTGCCTTCAAGAAGCAGCAGGTCAACCAGAAGAGGGAAAAGTGCTGATGGGTTTAGCAGTAAGCCTGGGGAAAATCTTATGTTAATCTTGACCCATTGTGCTGTGGCCTGGTCAGCTCAAGTGACCCTGACCTTGTGAAACTGTTGCCAGGGAAGATTCACAGACAATCCATACTACTGTGCTAGGGATACCAGAATAAAATACCACAAACTGGGTGGCTAAGATCAACAGAATTTCATTCTCTCACAATTCTATAGGCCAGAAGTGCAAAAGCAAGGTGTCAGCAGGTTTGATGTTTCTCAGAGGGCTGTGAGGGTAAAATCTATTCCATGCCTCTGTCCTCTGTCCTAGCTTCTGGTGTTTGTTGACAATCTTTGACATCACCCCAATCTCTGCCTTCATCTTCACATGGCTTCTGCGTGTATGTGTGTGTGTAGGGTGGGGTACAAGTGTGTGTGTGCCCAAATTCCTCCTTTTTATAATGACACCAGTCATACTGGATTAGGGGCCCAATCTACTCCACAATGACTGTGTCCTAACTTAACTGATTACATCTGCAATGACCCCATTTCCAGGCAAAGTCACATTCTGAGGTATTGGGGGTTAGGCCTTCAACATATGGATCAGGGGGGCACAATTCAACCCATAATATAGTCAGAATGTTCAGGGTCTGTGCAGAGGGAGTCTACATGGCAGAGTTGGGGACCGGAAGAGAAAGAAGCGACAGAGCTGGGAAGGCAAAGAGGCCCTAACATAGGATAGGATATGGGGGTTAGGAAGAGGAAGGATGTAGCTACTATAAAACAAACAAAACCAACCCTGAGGCTGTTTCACACTCTGCCAAGTCCCCAGCATTACAGAAGCAAGAAGGGAGGCTTGACCGTCTTTTCTTGTCTGCCCTCTCTCAGCCTGCCTTTCTGCAAAACACTTTTCCCCTCAGGGGTGCTCATTCAGAAAGCAAGAAATCAAAGTAGGGAA